CTCGTGACAGGGACGCCCCAGGAGCTGAGGACTGCCTGCCAAGGCAACTCATGCCCGCTACCACAGCCAACTTCAGGACGCAGGGGGGGGGGGGGCAGGTGGAGCGTGGCGAGCCGATGCCCATGCCGGTCACCCCTGCTTGCCTGCCAGCACTCCCACACGAGGCTCTGAAGTTCTGGAATGTTCCTCCCACTGCCCAGACATTCCCTCGGCAGAATCTCTGCGGGTGGCCCCTCAGCTCCCACTGGTCAGCTTGAGCCTGGGTGTCCTCACCTCCTCTCTGCCACCCTCGGTTCCTTCGCGGTCCGGTCCGTTCTCACAGCCTCCCACGCGGCCCACATGCCAAGTCTCTTCCCGGGCCTCCAGCTCACACAGGTCCAGCCCCACCTGCATGTCACACGTGGAGTTTCCAGCTCAGCAGCGGGGTTGGCTCCTGTCTACCAAAGTTCATGGCGTCTCCATCCTTCCTGCTGCTGGGGGCAAACGTCTTGGCGTCCTCTTCAGCCCTTCTCTCTCTTTCACATCCCCACCCCTGCGCGTCAGTGGTTCCCGACAGCTTTCTCCTGGCTATGCCCACATCCACCACTGCTAACACCATGTCCTTTGTGGCCGTCCTGGTCCAAGCCGCCATCGCTGCTTGTGTGTATTCCTGCTGTCGCCTCCTGAAGTCTCCCTGCCTCCACCTTTAGTCAGCACAGCAGGTGAAATGACCCTTTGAAAGGTCAAGTCAGAGCCTGTCACTCCCGGCTTCCTTCCTCACTTGGAGAAAAGTCAAAGTCTGAACCATGACCTCCAAGTCCCTGTGTCTTCTGGTCTGCAGTGCCTTTCTTGCTACTTTTCCTTTTTCTTACTCAGCTCAAACCACACTGATCCCTGAGTTGGTCTTCAAACAGGCAGGCTGGCTCCTGCCTCAGGGCCTTTGCACAGGCTGTTCCATCTAGAATGCCCTTCTACTGGATCTCTGTGTGGCTCAGCTCTGACTCCTGCTTTGCCCTAATGCCACCATCCCAGTGAGGCCTTCCCCAGCTTCCTGAATTGGCACAGCTCAGCATCACCTCCCTCCCCAGTCTCGCCACCACCTGACAAGACTGTTTCCTTCACGCATCTGTCTCCTCCTGTAGGCGAGTCCTCTGAGGCAGCGATTTGTCTCTTGTGTACTCCATTCTACCCAGTGCCTAAAAGCAGTGCCTGGTGCATAAATGCTAGAAAAGTTGTTGAATGAAAAGAATGACTAGCCGGGCTCGGTGGCTCAGCCTGTAATCCCGTGCCTTGGGAGGCTGAGGTGGGTGGATTGCCTGAGCCCGCGGGTTCGAGACCCGCCTGGGCAGGCGAGACCTCATCTCTACAATAAAATCAAAAATCAGACCTGTCTGGGCAACTTGGCGAGACCTCATCTCTACAATAAATGAAAACTACAGGTGTGGTAGCGCGCGCCCGTAGTTCCGGCTACTCGGAAGGCTGAGGCGGAAGGACTGCCGGAGCCTAGCAGGTCGAAGCCGCGGTGACCGGGAGCGGCCACTGCACTCCAGTCTGGGCGACCGAGTGAGACTCCAACTCAAAAAAAGAAAAAGAAAAAAAGAACGACTTTTGAGGATCGGTCCTTCCATGTGAGTCAGGCTTGCTTGTCTCGGGTCTTCTGGCACTCCTGTGCTCCTCACGAATCCCCAGTAGCTCCTGATGGCTCTTTCAAGCAGCACTGTGAACTTGGGTGTCACTTCTTCTGTAGTAGTGTTAGTTATTTTACTCCTTCAAATCTGAATGTCCTTGAAGTAGAGGAACTGGATGCTACTTCTTGGGGTCACTTGTTAACATGTTCTCCTCCTTCCCGAGCCCAGGACTCTTCTTATTTTTGAGTTGGAGTCTCACTCCGTTGCCCAGGCTGGAATGCAATGGTATGCTCACGGCCACCTCAGAGTCGACCTGCTGGGCTCCGGCGATCCTTCCGCCTCAGCCTTCCAAGTAGCTGGAACTACAGGCACACGCCACCACGCCCGGCTAATTTTTTGATTTATCGTAGAGCTGAGGTCTCGCCAAAGTTGCCCGGGCTGGTCTCAAACCCCTGAATTCAGGCAATTCTCCCACTTTTGCCTCCCAAAGGGCTGGGATTATAGGCGTGAGCCACTGCACCTGGCCAGGTCTCATCTTTTAAAGTCCTATTCTTGCTGAAAACCCTTTGGTTGCTCACAGCAATAATATGCTTTCTTCTTGCAGTCCTTTAAAATCCTTTATTGCCTAAGCTCACTCTTGAATGACTTTGTCGTTCAAAACAAGCATCCGTACCTTGCGCCAGGAATCCGGGCAGGAGCCAAGACAGGCCACACGGAACGTACATGTTAGTGAGGCAGGCAGTGGCACACCGACACTCGAATGGAGCCATGCTCAGGAGTGGCGAATGCTGAAAAAATAAACAGGGCCGGCAGCCGGGCCCGGGGGTCCCGGCACGCGGGAGGCCGAGGGGCTGCGTCCCCGGAGCGCCGGAGTCCAGGTCCCGGGGAGCCGTGGCTGCACCGCCA